AAGCCACTCATCAACATGAGCTCCCGGGTCTTTATTCAGTCAAAGGAATGAATAAATCTATGTATCTTTCTGTCTATCTAGCTATCATTTATCACTTATCACAGACATAAAACAGTTATTCAAATCAACTGTTCAGGATTCTGATATCTGTGGGTGAATGAAAACTTCTTGACCTTATCCCCAAAGACTCCAAACTGGATGCCAAGTAAGCTTTCCTGAAGGATCACTCCAAATGTGAGGTAGCATTACCATTTCTGGTCACTGCATGCCTAATCTCAAATGGTGGTGAAAGCTGAAGAAGGAACTCTGATGAAGATCGCAATGTTTGATCAAAATAATGTTTAGTGAGGTCTCATAGTATGATTTTGCAGCCAACTTCAACCTGTGAAGAATGGGAGAGACCATAGCTGCTGTGACTGTACAGTGTCTACATTATTTTTTTCCAATTACAGGGTGGCTTATAGACTATACTAAGATGTCTAGTTTAACTTCCAGCTGATGAGACCTGTGAATCTGTTTCCCCTACTTTGTTTTCAAGGACTTCTAACATTTCAAATTATTTTCAGATAGAAATTACTAACATTAGCTTCATACTTTCTTGGTTTAAATCTATATAAATAAAAATGTAATGTTCATTTGTGGGATGAACATAACTCAAAAACCACTGGACCAATTGACACCAAATTTGGACCCTACACCTCTAACAGGCCAACGAGTGACCATCACTCGTAAAAACACTGAAAAACACCATGGAATAGACTTTAAAAGCAAAAAAAATCATTACAACTCGTGCACAAAACCATATATATATATACCCAAACATACATATGTACACATAGACACAAAACACATATACACAGACTGGGCCACAGCAATGCGTGGCAGGGGACGGCTAGTAAAAACTAAAAAGGTACAAAGGTTTTAAAGAGCACAGCAAGTAGGAGCAAGTAATTTCATATTTTATTATGCTGACAGCTACATTTTTCAATATAAAGCTCTGGGAAAAACCTTAAGATTTTGTAATTTGCTAAGCAATATTATTGTATTTGAACAGCCTAAGCCACGATGATGAGGTGACTTCTCATCTTTTAAAAAGAACCCTTTGCAGTCATTGATCTTCTGCTTTATATACTGGTACAACCTAGTAGTACAACTTAGCAGCATAACCTAGTAATAACCAATAAAGTGACATTGACTTGCATGCTTAAACATCCACAAAGTATTTGCCCACGGATAGGCTCTGACATGCAAAACCATTCATTGCACTGTCACTCCTGGCAGACAATTACTTTTCCAACCAAGTAAGCACAGCTTCATGTATCAGCAAAGATTATAAACATACCATGCACTGTTTAACCTATAAAAAGCAAGTCTCTTCCATATCAGCCTGATTTTTCTCTGTAGGTTTGAAATATTGCACTTAAGTGAGTATAAAATCAGCATACGTTTTTAAATAAGCTTGGGGGTTTTTCAGTCCTTGTGTCTTTTAAATTTAATGGCTGCAGGAACAGGAGAAAGTAAAAGCTGGATCTCAGTCTGCTGGAAAATTTACAAGAGAAATCTACAGTGATTTCTAACTCCCACTTATTTGGCAGTGGCAATCAAACAAGTAAGTTTGCGAGACTTGGGGGTTACTGTATATTGAAGCCAACTTAATGACAATTAACAAAACACGAAACAAACAAAACATGCTTCACACATATACACTTTCAAAAGTATGTGGTTGAAACAAAGAGAGGTTAAGGAAAAGCAGGAAGGGACTTGGCACCCTCTGGATACTGTAGTATTTCAATTCCCATCAGCTTCTTTCCAGCATAACCACAAATGTGGGATAATGAAAGTTGCAGCCTATCAATCTCTGGAGAACCATAAGTTGTCCACTCATGCTTTAAAGGCAGTGCTAGCCAATGACTCCCATGTCCATGGTGCAATGAAACCATTCCAGGTATTAGTCTGAGCTTTAAGGGAAATGTCCAAGGTGCCCAAGAGGTTGAATGGAGATAGGTTTGGCACCTTGCTTCCTGCTGTCCAAGACAATTTCTAGCAAGAGTGAGGGTTTTGTTCCCTTTGCATATCCCCATTTAAATATTCCCATGTCATATCATAAGTTGCTTTTGAATCTTCATTCATCTTCACAAGATCATGTAATATGCTCCAGCAACTGAAAGACCTCTTTGAATCCAGACCAATAAAAAACCAGAAATACCGTATAAACCTGTATTATTGGGCACACATTTGTGACATTTTGCATTTCTTTTGTTAGCAGAACAAAGGGTAGCTCTTTGCACTAATTAGTGTTGGTGCTAAATATATTTATATCAGCAACTGACCCAAATCATATTTAATCAATAAAGATGACCTTTTCATTCCTCAACTTCTAATCAGCTCTGAGACCCTTCTACACTGCCCTATATCCCAGGATACAATCTCAGATTATCTGATTATCCCAGATTATCTGGCAGTGGGGACTTATATAATCCAGTTCAAAGCTTGAAAACCTGGGATCAGAGCCTGGATATATAGACAGTGTAGAAGGGGCATGAGTGAAGGCTAAATTGGTCTAATGATCACTATACTTTTAGAACCAAAAATTGAGGAGAGAGAGAGAAGGCATGAAATCAAATGTTACACAGCATACTGGAAGGATGGGAACAGTTTGCTCTGCAAGGCTATATATTGTTTGCGGTTGAGGATAGCTAGTGGCAAATTTAGTAGCAATGGTGGTGCAAACCCCAGTGAGTTGTGGATGTATGTGTATATGTGGGGGGGGGGGTTGGGGGGGTTATAGATCAGAACTTTTGCCACTTGGAATTTGTTCCTCTTGTTTTATGGCTTGTGCACAGAGAAATCTGAAACCTGGAAGCAATTTAGCTGTAGAAGAGATATTAGTATTTTAAGATGTGCTTGTAAATGTCCTTAAGGGTTGCTTGTTCATGATTTAACTGGTCTTTATTAGGTATATTTTACTTTCCTGTAGTTGTTTTTGGTCATCAGATGACTCACAAGGTGAATGAATGAATGAAAATACTTAAATCCCTCTTTTAATAACCCTCCCTTTAATTATTTTTCTCCAGCAGTTTAGAAGACAGCGTCTTATGTTACAAGCTGTAGCGCCATTTGGGAAGCTTCAAACCCCTCCCATAAAAGCAAAATTAAGTAGTTCAGGAAGCGATTGGTCTGGAACATTCTTGTTTGGCCAAAATGAATCAACAGAGAGCAAGTACAAACATTAGAAAAATGGGTCAGAGACAGTAAAGATTAGATAAAATGACAAATACAGTGTGACACTATCTGACTTAAATCAAAATCTAGGTCATGCTATAGATGATTTATTAAAACCAGAATTGTTATGTTGCCATCTACACACTTTTGTGATAAGTATGCAATGATTTTGCACTCATTTAAACTTCTGCATAATTGTGTCAATTTTGCATTAATGACATCCAAAATCCTTGCAGTCGTCTTCCCGACACACATTTCTGCATCTGATGGTAGAAGAAGCAACTTGTCCACCACAATACCAGCAAGCATGTCTCCTTATATATGTAAAGCCAATTGATTGCATATGTTTGGAGATGGGCTTTGGGGCATCCCATGCTGCCCCAATATGAGGTGAAATTTCAAGCACTCAGATATAAGATAATCATAGAAAATAGGATACCTGAGAATCTGTATTTGTATATGTATAAAAGCAATTAACACAAATATCACATCTTTGCTTTGGTTCTACAATATCAGTGGTTCACTTCCTGCAAGATATCTCTCTCTAGACATTTTCTAGCCTCTCCAGTGTAACTGTATGGTGTTTTTTGTTTGGTGATCCATCATTTCAGTAGTTCACTATTATCCACAGTTTCACATATCCACATGAAGCCTGGGAGTGTATCTATCCCCTGTGGTTACAGGGGTTGCATTACATTCAATACACAGTTTTCTGGGTGATGATTTATAGTGAGAAAGTTTATTTCCCTTTGTGAGCTTGTCTGTGATATAAAATTATCAGAGGAATCTCCTTTCAAGTAAATCAGTTTGAGATGTAAGTCCTCACTTCTTTTTTGTGTGTACAAAAACAAGAAACTTCAAAAGGTCCTGTCTTACATGTCAGTGAGATATTTGCTCTTGGTCTTGATGAGATTTTCACATTTGGGGAAATATTTTTCAACAGATTTTATACTCTGAATGAATTGTGCTAATTGTACAAATTATGCAGCCTAAGTAGAAAAATGTATAGCTAGGCTGCGGTTGCTGTTTTTTAATATATAGACCACTGAAAGGAAGGCATAGGGTAGAATTGTTCTGCTGGCTCATATTTGGCAGCAGAAAAGCCAAGAGCAACAACAGAAAAACAGGGCTAGAAATGGGAAGAGGGAGAAAGTAAGTCACCCCGACCCATATCTCTTTCATTCAGTCCATACTCAGTTTTCAATAACTTCCATACACATATTATTAAAGATAGGACACAAATAGTCCCAAGGAATTTCCATGTATCCTTATGGTGAGAGAGATTTTGATTCAGTAAGGATTGTTCTCTTAGTGTAACATAGCAGTTAACCTGTAATGTAATGCACACTTACTTAGGTAACTCCCATTGAACATAATTTGATTTCGGTTAACATGATTATTATTTAGGATTGTACTATAAGAGACAGAGCAGTGTACTAGGAAATCCCTTTAATTTGTCTTCCATGTAACATTTTCTACTATGTTCTTCCCACCACCCTGAAGCAGTCTAAAGACAAATACACCCCCAACTATTTACCCAACAATAGGAGCCTCTTTCAATTTTTTTTCACATCAGGGATCCATTCTTCTTAGCCTTTATAATGTTTGTTCTTCCCTGAATTCTTTTGTAGCTCTTGATTCATTATTAAAACCTGGAGATGAGATTAATTTTCCTTCAATAACTCTTTGAAGCTCTGGCAGCACCTAATTAACTCTAGCATGTATTAACTTTTCAGCTGTGGCTAACATGATTTTGCTATTTTGTTTCTTTATTATAGGTTTTATCTATACAGGAGATGTTGTGCATCGAATGTTAACGGCTACACAGTACATTGCTCCCTTGATGGCCAACTTTGATCCAAGTGTGTCACGAAATTCTACTGTAAGGTACTTTGATAATGGTATGTATTAATCATTTTGCCAGGCTGTACTTTTTCTTTCCTTTGTAACCAAATATATACTGAAGACTGTTTGTAATATATCACCCACTGAAGTTTGTTTAATCAAATTAGCATTCATCTCAATTAAATTTATATTGGTAGACTATTGACAAATCATTGACATTATAAATTATTCTTTCTATTCAAGCTGTTTTTAAAACTTTCTTAAAGCTTGAACCTCAGTTAACATGATCAGCTGAAAAAGACAACTCTTTTATCTAGCAAGCATTTATGCCTTCTTTGGTACCATCTGTATAGTAAAGTATTTAAATATGAGCAGCTTTCAATACTTTTGCCACTTCCTGTTCTGCCTCCACACTATCATAACTACTTGGAAGGTGAACTGGCTGTGCAGGGAACAGATCAGAGACTATATAGTTGAATCAAACAAGAATTTATTAACTGACAAGAATTTTAGACTTTATCTCCTCCTGAGTCTAACTACAAAGTCTTTATGAGGAGAGGTCAGGTCTTTGAGAGAGAGAGAGAGAGAGACAGTTCTGGCTGAATTGAGGCTTGAATCTTTATTTCCTCTTATTGTCTCTTTCTTGTATGGTGTTCATCTTGTATGGGGTACGACACTTCCCACAGAAGCACAACATAACTGAGGCTAACAAGCCCTAGAAAGAGTGTGTAATAAATTTCACTTTACCTACAATTATCAGTGATCAAATACCTGATATAAGAGGCTGAGTGTTGAACATTAAATGTTCAATGCATTTGTTGAGATTTTGTTTTTTTTTAAATCAAGATATATACAAACCAGTTTCGCCTGTGTGTTCCACACTTATACTATTTTCCTTCCTCTTTGTGGTGTTTTAGTTTGATTTATTGGTTGACCTTTTAGATCAATTAACCATAGTTCCCTTTCTTGTTTAAAAAGAATGTAGAAAAGTTACTTCTTTTTTGAGTTGCAAGTGTAGAATATCTCAGCAAGTATGGCTCTTGGGAGTAGTGGCCCAAAAATACCTTGTGCCATTTTTCTAGCCTTCTTCCCCTCTTCTTCCTCTTCCTCTCTCCTCGGATTCTTTCTCTTCCTCTTCCTTCCCTCCTACTCTTCCTCAATTATATCAGGATCCTTTTATTCCCTTGCTTAAAATATTCGATCACTTTTTCCCAGTTTGTTTCCTTCATGTTCATTCCTTTGCTTCTTGTTATTAAAAATGTCAATCTATCCATATTCCTCACTTCCAAAATTTTTGTCAACCTCTCATTTTCATCTGGTGCTTCTTCTTGCTTCCATCTTCTGGCATAGGTTATCCTTGCTGCCATTGTCAATAGAAAAAGAATCTTGTCTGTGTTCTTTTCTATTTTCAGTTCGTGCATCCCTARAAGAAATAATTCTGCCTTCCATGGTATTTTGATTTGTAAAAATTTCCTGTAGTTCTTTCTGTACCTCTCTCCAATATTTTTTTGCCTTTTTACAAGTCCACCAAATGTGGAAGTATGAGCCTTCTTTTTCTTTACACTTCCAGCACCTTGTGCTGGTACTTTTGTTGCTCTTTCCTAATTTTTTCGTTGTCATGTACCAGCGATGTGCCGTCTTTAACCAATTTTCCTTCAAATCAGTAGCATAACAATATTTTAACTTTTCTCTCCAGATTTTTTCCCATTCCTCCTGCTTTATGTTTCTTCTAATATTTTCGTTCCACCTCTTTTTATAGTTCTTTTCTCCTTTAGAATCCATTTTCCATTCTAGCAACTTTTTGTATATTTTCGTTATTAGGTTCCTTTTTGACTCCATTATGTTATCCCAAATTTTTTTATCCTGATTAAAGCCTATCTTCTTGTCTTTCTTGTACTTTTCTTTTATCGTCCAATATTCTAACCATGACACCTTCTGTTCCACTGTGTTTAGTTCTTCTTGTGATTTTAAAATCACCTCTCCTCTTTCGATTTTTAACAGATCTTTATATTTTAGCCAGTCATGCCACCCTGTACACCATCTTTGTCCCGCTTCTAAGGGGGATACCCACATCGGGGTTTTGTTATACAGTTTCTCTTTATACTTTTCCCATATATTCAAAATTGTTGATCTTATAAAATGATTGCCAATTTTTTTTCATTTTTCTTCCCCTTGTACCAAACATAGGTATGCCAACCTTCTCGCAGCTCCGACCCTTCCAATGTTAATAATTTCTTCTTTTCCAATTTTGCCCAATCTTTAGCCCAGATTAATGCGTTTGCTTCCAAATATAGCTCCAAATCCGGTGCCGCCATCCCTCCTTTTTCCTTTTTTTCCGTCAGATTGTCATAGCTGATTCTCGGTTTCTTATTTTTCCAGATAAATTTTTTGATGTCTTTATTCCAATCCTTTAATATTTTCTTATTTCTTATTATAGGTAAATTTTGAAAAAGAAAAATCAATTTTGGAAGTACTGCCATTTTCACTGTTGCTATCCTGCCAAGTAGCGATAGGTTGCAGCTTTTCCACTTTTCCAAATCCTTCTTTATCTCCTTCCACTTTTCTATATAGTTATTTTGCAGTAGATGTAGGTTCTTAGATGTCAGTATTATCCCTAAATATTTTAACTTGTTTACTATCTGTATATTCCATTTACTTTTTAATTCTTCCTGTTCATTTTTCCAATATTTTTGGTTATTGCCTTTGTTTTCTCCATGTTAATTTTAAATCCTGAAACCTTACCGAATTCTTTAATTGTTTTCATCCACTCTCCTAGATTACTCTGGTTCCTCAGTTACGCATATCACATCATCCGCGTATGCGTGAATTTTGAATTCCTGGCCATGTATCTTTGCACCTACCAAGCTTTTTTCCTCTCTTACCTTATTTAATAATACTTCTAGAGTTAGAATAAAAATTAACGGCGATAGGGGGCATCCCTGTCTTGTTCTCTTCCTTATCTCAATATTTTCTGTTTCTTTCCCATTCACCAAAATTTTCGCTTTTTGTTCTTCATATATGGCCTCAATTGCATTTTGGAAATAAAAACCCAGATCCATTTCTTTCATTATAATTTTTAAAAAATTCCAATTTACGTTGTCAAACGCTTTCTCTGCGTCTAGCGCTAACAACATTACTTTATTTTGATGTTTGTTTTCATAATACTCAATCAGATCCACGATCGTCCTCACGTTTTCATTTTGGCAAGAAGCCCACCTGTTCTTCCTTTATATATTCATTAAGTACCCATTTAAATCTTTCTGCCATTATCAAACTGAAAATCTTGTAATCGACATTCAACAACGAGATTGGTCTGTAGTTCTTTACTTGTTCTTCATCTGAGTTTTCTTTGTGTATCAAGCAGATGTTCGCTTGCTTCCACGAATCTGGGATTTCTTTATAAATTCGTATTCTGTTCATCATTTCTTTTAGGTAAGGTGATAGTTCCTGTTGGAAGGTCTTATAGTAGATTGCCGATATTCCATCCGGCCCCGGAGCTTTGTTTGGTTTCAATTTGTTTATTGCTTCTCTAATTTCTTTCTCTGAGATTTCTTTATTTAAGCTTTCCCTTTGTTTTTCTGATATTCTTTGGATCTTATGATTAGTTAAATATTGGTAGATCTCCTCTTCTTCTATCTTCTCTTCCTGGTACAATTTCTTATAAAATTCTAAGAACTGTTCTCTTATTTCCTCTTCTTGAGTTATGGACCTTTCCTTATCTTTCAATTTTGTAATGTATGTTGTCTCCTTTCTTTTCCTTATTTTGTTCGCGAGCCAACGTCCAGGTTTATTCGCATTCATAAAGTAGTTCTGTCTTATGTATTTTAACTCCTTTTCCCTGTCCTCTGTTTCCAAAAATTCTCTCTGTTTATGTAGATGTTCTAATCTTTGCTTTGCCTCCTTGTCTGTAGGGTTAACTTTTAATTTACTTTCTTCTTCTTCAATTCCTTTAAGTAAGTTCTTCATTCTTCCACCTTTTTCTTTGCTCCTTCTTATCATCTGCTGTATAAAATTCCCTCTCATGACGGCCTTACTCACCTCCCAGAGTGTAAAGATTTGTGTTTCTGGCCCGCCATTAATATCAAAATATTCTTTTAATAACTTTCTATTTCTTTCTATATCTTCCTCTCTCTTCAACAAATTTTCGTCCAGTCTCCATCTTTTTCTCTTCTCCGTTATTTTTATCTCCAATTCCATCGCACAATGGTCCAAATTCATCCTGGGCAAAATTAGTATTTTTGAAACATTTATTTGTAATGATGATGTTATCCAAATCATATCTATTCTGGACCAGTTTTGGTGTCTTGGTGAATAATAAGTGTAGTCTTTCTTCCTTTCGTTTCTACTTCTCCATATATCCACCAAGTATAGTTTCCGCATCATGTCTACCATTGACTTTGGCAAATCTCCCTTTTCGTTATTAGTTTTCCCTCCTTTTTTCTTTGTTATAGTTCTATCTAGGGTCTTATTTAAAACACCGTTAAAATCTCCTAATAGTATCATTTTCTCTGGCTCTTGTTCTTCTATACTCCTCCTCAACTTCTCTACAAATTTTGTCTTCACCTTGTTCGGTGCATATATATTGCATATAAGTAGTTTTCTATTTTGTAACCAAATGTTCACCCCCAGAAACCTTCCTTCTTCATCCTTGAAGGCTAATTCCGCTTTTATATTTTTATCTATGTATGTCACTAATCCTCTTTTTTTCTTGTATAGCAGCATAAAATGCTTGGCCAATTTTTTTATTTTCCAAATGTTTTGTGTGTCTACTCATTATATGTGTTTCTTAGCTAGAAACATGATAGAAAAATGATAGAAAAGACCTTGTGAAGACCCCGGGAAGTCGAAAGCAAAAGTCTACTTTACTTAAATCTTTTTTCTAAAAAAAATTGGCTTTGGGCTATAAATTCTCTTTTTTTCTCTCTCTCTCTCTCTTTCTCCTCGCCTGTCCTATCTTTACGCACCATATCCTTTTTTCGGTTTCGGGAATATATTACACACACATATCTTTTCTGTCTTTGGTAGCTTTGGCTACTAATCTATATTTTAAATGTATGTGGAAAATTGAATAAAGACTATTTAAAAAAAATACCTTGTGCCAAGCTCTGTGTACAAACAAGGAAACTAGTAGCAGAATCACAACAAGGCAAGCTAGCTTCCACCCAATGTTGCGCTGAGTTCTGGTATTGTTGAACTGCAGCATTCTGAGACTGGAAAGGATATTATAAAGACAGGATGTAGACACAAATATGAAGGTTGAATAAACCAGTCTGAGTCCCTCTCCGGAGGTGAGAAAATCGGAATATAAAAGTTTTAAATACATAAGAAATAAACCAAACTGGACAGCTGGGACATACACATTGTGTGTGGTAGCCTTGTCACCATGGTTTTCAATTGGAGCTAAACCACAGGGAGTATGATAGCACTTTAAAGCCGTGAAATTGTACTGAACTCCATTAGGGGTTTATGACTTTTGTTTTCACGTATTAATCTATTTTGAGAGTAGCTGCTGTTAATAACATAATTGTCACTGCTGGTACTTTGTACATTTCATTTCCTTATAAAGTTGCTACTAACAATCCATCATCAATCTTGGGGTGCCAATTCAGGCATCCAGAGAAGTGGGCTATAGTTCCCAAAAAGTATGCTATAATGAATGTGTTAGTTTCCAAGGTGGCACAAAACTCTTCATTATATGAAACTGTTTGATTTATTGGTTGACCTGATTGATTGAATTTCGTTCTTACCTTTGTCCTGGATGTCTGAAACCAAGCATTATTTTGCCTTAATGTGGAACATGTACATGTCCCTTATCATTGTTGAGTCCAAATGTTTGCCAATATGGTGGCTATAAAGCATAGAAAAAAACAATATAAAGAAGGTGATTGTGTGGACCCAAATGAGAATTTTAGAGTGAATTCTTAAATAAAAGTGGCAACATTGACATGGTTTATAGAAATGAGCAGAACACAATGACTTCTCTTCATATTCCATAAAAAAGGGTTAAGAAATATGTGTTCTCTGTTATTTCTGCTCTTAGTTTACTCTGGTTCCCAGTTAGGACTGATCTCATTCAAACTAAAATATATCATATTAGAAGACAATGAGAGGAGAAGAAAAAGAAGAGAGGAGAAGACCTTTCAGGACTGTATCAAGATTTGCATAGATCATTCTAGTTTCTATGGAGCACATTTGAAATATGGTATGCCTGCAAAACACATGATCCACCCAACAGTAGTTATGTGGCATAGCTGAATAAGGGCTTGATAAATATGACCCTGCCTCCCCAGAAGCACAGAATCATAAGGATATGAACACCAAGCACATTTCCCAGAAAGTGTGCTTCTGTTGCGTTGGCAGGCTGTACATTGAATGGTCCTGTAGTATCCAGGACAACTTACCTAAAGAATTGTGGGACTTTTGCAACTAAAAGGCTTCAATACATTATTAATATAAACACTATCAATAAATTCTTAGTGATTCTATTTAGCCAGGACACTTAATATGTAGCACTAACACTGTATATTATGTAATATCTCTTACTCTGAAAGCTTGCAGTCAATAAAAAAGTTAATACTATGCAGGATAAATAGGCAGAGTAAAAATGGGCTGCTTTAAATATTAACTTTTCTATGTCAGCATTTCTATAAACATCCTTAAGCTGTACAGTCAGTGGGTTGTAAACTAAATGACACAATGTAATATTGTGTTGAAAGCAAGGAGTTATGTGAACATGGCCTGCATACCAATTTATATCTTTTATATGACAAAGGTAGCTTCCTATATAATTTTGGTTTAGACAGAATTACCAAATTGTAGATACCTAGCTTCCATGATCTGAAGTTAGCATAGTTTGTATTAAAGAATGATGGGAACTCTGCATACACATCTACAGCATGCAATTTTATATATAAGCAGTAGTAAGATGGTTTCTTGTTTTGTTTATGGTTTCAAAAACAAATATATATAAAATGTGAGATTGTTGCTCTTTGCACTGCAAATTGTAGCATCCCATAGAATCCCATGGAGTTCAAAAGAACTCACATTAAAACTCATATTTTAGCACTGCTTATGTATACCATATGTATACTTTTACAAGGTTAGTAATAATATTGCCACATGTTAAGTTGTTAAATTGCATGAGATGGTACTGAAAAGGTAACAGGCCACTTAATGTAATATTTTCTTCTCCTCACCCTACTTGGGACTTGACAGGTACTGCCCTGGTTGTGCAGTGGGACCACGTTCATCTCCAAGATAATTACAATCTGGGCAGTTTCACATTTCAGGCAACTCTTCTCAATGATGGCCGTATCGTTTTTGGCTACAAAGAGGTGAGTTTGATTTGACATTGTTTTACAGGCTTTATAACCAATCCTATCTCAGCTAAACTATTAATGTTCTGCTATCTTCATGCAAAATACTTTCTTTATGCTTAGACTCACCACATGAAGTATAGTGTAAAAATAATGTTCTGTTCCTACCAAAGAGACCTGTTGGTCTTCAGTCCTGCCGGCACAGGGGTTTAACCCACTGCGCCACCGGGGGCTCCTGTGCTGGCAGGACTGAAGACTGACAGGTCGCAGGTTCAAATCCGAGGAGAGGCGGATGAGCTCCCTCTACCAGCTCCAGCTCCTCATGCGGGGACAAGAGAGAAGCCTTCCACAAGGATGATAAAACATCAAGTCATCCAGGTGTCCCCTGGGCAACGTCCTTGCAGACAGCCAATTCTCTCACACCAGAAGCGACTTGCAGTTTCTCAAGTCACTCCTGACACGACCAAAAAAAAAAAACCCAAAGAGACAAGGCTGTCCCAAGACATTTTGCTTCTGGAGGCAAACTGAAAATGTCTCTCCTGCTCAAGTCAAGCCTATCACTTGAGACCAGAAAACCCACCTCCACATGTTCCTAGTAGTAATAATAGAAAAATAAATTAATAGATAACAATGTGTGACCCTTTCTCAGATTTCCCCAAATGTGCTTTTCTGTCGTGTGATAGGGCCATCCCTGTTAAGACATTGTGTTGGGCTACTGAAGAAGACGAAGATATATTCTTCAAAATATTTAGGATAAGATGTTAAGGATAAGCTATTACTAGTGAAAAATATTCACATGGTTTGTGTCTTAGGTACCTGCCTACTACCTGGATCTGCATGCTCATCAATCATTTTCCTAATATTGTTATAAGAGAAGCCATAGAAAAATTTAGACATTGTTTGAAGGAGCTAATATTAACATATTTTGCTGCTGGAGACAAAGCAGAAAATGTTCCCAAGTCAATGCACATAGTTCATGTGGCAATATAACATCCAGTGGTTGTTAGTGACTTCTGTGAAGTTCTAGCAAAGATGCTGGACTATTGGGGTCACAGGCTTCAGTACTTTTGGTAATTCCATTATAATTCAGACTAAAAGCCAGAATAATTCGCTATCTCCTGGCATGGGAGCCACCAGTCACTTTGATAACATCAGTGAAGATGCATGGAATTAAACAGATTCTTTTTGAAGTGAGCAAAAGGGAAACTGCCAATCTCTTTTGATGGCAGAAAGTGCCTGACCTTTTTTGCCAAGTTCTTCTGACATTATACTGGTTACAAGAGTAGTTCCCTTATTTGACAAAGCATTTATGTGTATCAGCCAGTTTACAGTTCATTTCAACCTGTAATGAGAAAACATTATGTTGGAAATCATTTTTGACACTGCCACATGCGTGAAGAATTTCTGTTCTATCTTGGTATTAAATTTCAGGAAAACTAATAATTTTCTCTGTCAATGTGTCCATTGCCTGTCACCAGAAGTTGCTGTACTCTCTTTCATAATTGTATGTCAGCTATTCACAGCATCAGTGTAAATAATGGATCAATTTTTTAAACAGAATATTAAATGCAAATTCACTTGTAAAAGACATCAGGCATAACTAGATATTAGGTTTGCTGATCTAGTTTGTTAACTTACTATGGTTGATACAAACAATAGTTTTCCATGTTCCAATGGAAGACTGGTTTATTATGGAACAGTGTCAGGAAGCTTTAAATACCTTTTCTCATGCACAAACAAGTGAAGCAGCACATGAGCGTGAAACAGATGTATATGAGCCTGAAGATTGCTAAAGGACGTCTTCATAACTACAAACTATGATTATAATATCTGAATATAATCACAGGGGAATCCACCCATTTCTGTCAATAAGCCAATGTTACTCATTCTTGTTCATGTCTGCCTAATGTAACAGAAGTTTTTTTCATATACCACCCCATGACTATTTTATTGACTATTTTATTGCTCCACTTCCCTCCTTCAAATATATTCTACAAATGCAGCAAATTTTAGAATCTGCCCAGTGGGTCCTTACATGGCTGAAACGTGGAGAACCTATTAATTGAGAAAATGAAGAAGCACAAGGCAAATGATGGAGTTCTTGCATTGGCCATTTATTACCTGTATGTGGAAGGAAAAGCAGGGGAAGTAGTATGGCTTAATGCACATTTTTGGGGGGTTATGCAAACATTAAAACAGATCTACTGTTGTAGATTTTACAGTGTAAATAGTATACAACTTCTGTCTATTAGCCCAAATTTATTTATTTATTTATTTATTTGCACTATTTCTATCCCACCCATTTCAGCCCGAAGGCGACTCAGGGTGGTAGAAATTGATTATTGTTTTAGTGTTTATGAAAATTAACTGAACATCTTTGAAATATTCAGTAATAGAGACTAAATTCATTCCCCAGCATAATCTAATTTTGTGTGGCCCTGTATGCAAAATTGCATTTGGTGTTAGCCAAGCAGCATTAAAAGGAAAACTGTTTACCCAATAAGCAAGCTAAACTGTTTGAGAAAAATACTAATTGTACTTCAAGGATGTGCAACCTTGTTCCCTGCAGTGAATGGACAATGAAGCCTACAGTTAATCTAAAGTATATTTACTTTGCCACATAGAGGCAGGGCAGAAATTGTAATTGTGAAAGTACTTATGAGGAGTTGATAAACAGGTCTGTCAAACCTTAAGTACTAGACCAAGGCAAAATTTCATAGTGCACTGAAATATCATTTCCACCAGCCTGATGCCAACTGTTCCTTTTCTTGGAAGGGGAGGGAGAGAAAGAACAGTGGGGAAAATCTAAAGATTACAACTGGAGCAAAACCAGTTTTAGATGTCTGACAAATGCATATCCCACTGGCAATGAAAAGAGGTGATTATTTGTTTAACCATCACAACATGCCAGAAGCCCTGTAGTTATGTACACAAGAGCTCAGTCTTCACAAATATCAGCCTCTTTATGGTTGAATGATCTGTGAGTCTCTGTGGGATTCTGGCGATGGCCTGTATTCTGCTCAAAAGTCAGCCAAATGCATTATTTGCTGCTACTATAGTTGGACACATGTTGCTAAACATAATTTGGTGGCTTTGGGACTCTGTTTGAAAACTGCCTCCTGCCATACTAGATAACATGTTTATGTAAAATTCAAAGGCATAGCCAGCCATGTGGTTTGGATCAGTATGCAAAGGCATCTCATAGTACCTTCGAGACTAATGGAGGAAGCATAAAAACCTTCGTAGACCTAAGTCTACTTCATCTTCTTTTATGAAGAAATGCTGATGCAGTGCACAGCTAGTAATACCAAAGCAGTTGGTATTCCATGATAGCAGGTGTGCATGCACGGTCCTGTCTATCTAGTGATATGGAAATCTGAATCCCATACATAATGTATTTTACAAGTAAATGGGATCTGGCCTCACAGATTGACAGTAATAGGCAACAGAAGTGGTGATCCACTGCCAAACAATGGAACCCTTCTATTACTGCTCCTATTCACAGCAGTGACAAAAGCTGTGCCACCTTCAACTGGATGGTATTATGAATTAGAACTGCAGGGGGAAAGGTGAGAAACTATTTGGACCTATAGGAATGATCCCCTTATTAAAAGCATATTTCCCAAGCCTTCTTCTCCCTGAAGTCTACCTCCTCAACTGGAGCCAATGCTGGTGACATTGGATTGTTTTGTTTGAACCTTGCTGAGGACTTTTTCATGTCCACTTTATTTTGAAAGTGATATGAATAAAAACAAAATATTTGGATATGTCATTCTCATCATCTTCCTCCTCTTTTTGTCTTGCAGATTCCTGTCTCAGTGGCACATATTAGTTCAACCAATCACCCTGTGAAAGTAGGGTTGTCAGATGCATTTGTGGTCGTCCATAGGATCCAGCAAATTCCAAGTATGTTTTTTATATATGCTAATGAATATAGTATGAGACGGTGTGTTTGAAGTAATAAAATTCAAAGTGTTTGAAAAGGGTTTTTAACTAAACCAAAAATTGCTTAAATTGTTTCAGTTAGCTCATTTAAATGTAATTTCATTGGTTTACAACTCCCACTGTGGCTGTCTGCTTTGTTGTTTGCCCTGAACTGAGAAGCAAAATTTAACTTCCAGCCAAATGGGAAATGGCATAATTCTGTATTACTCATGATAGGTTTCCACAAAGGACCTTAGAGGGTTGTTATTATTTTGTGCACATGTTTTGATTTTGGAGGAGCCAGTAAACATTATTTCTTTTCTTCTGTAACAAATTAAATCATATTTTCAAGAATGGGAATTTATTCTATAGAAAACTCAGTGCATTTGCAGGTCACACAGACAAGAGAGAAGCTCATATAATCCTGATGGTAATATTGCATAGATTTGTCTACAAAACTGCATCTTTTAGAGCTAATAGAATCATACAGTTAGAAGTGAGGTCACAGGATTTGTTGTTGTTCATTCCTGTCAAGTCGGCTTCAATTTATGGTGTGATTCAGGGACCTTCGAAATCACCAGTCGTCATACACCCTTCTTAAACTTTGCTAACTCAGGGCCATGGCTTACTTGATTAAGTTTATTCAATTATAAATGTGATCTTTGTTTTTTTCCTATTATTTTTATTGTACTTTCATGAGTCATGTCTTCTAATGTTTGTCATGAAAATTTCTTCTTCGTGATCTCTGTGAAATCGCACATATGGTAGTTTCCTGCGCCTGCATAGCAAGTCTTGGAATCTTCTGGAAAGCTCTTTGGCTTTAAGGCTATATAGCCTCACCCACACTCCCCAGATGATATATAGCCAATGTGAGGGGCTGTAGCCTCAGTTCCTTTTGTCCACCACCTTAGAAGCAAACAAAGGAATCTCTCAAAATTGACTAGCTACCTTGTGTTGACCGACAAAATCTTTGACTACTCTTTGGATACTCCTACTCTACTACAGTATTGATTTGGACTGTGACCCACTCAGGCCAGTAATGTCTACTTCTTGCTTTAAGAAGTGTGTGTCCTATGGCACCAAATTGCCAGATGCTGACAGACATGATACGTATTTGTTGTGCTTGGGTGAGAGCCACATTGTGAACTCTTTTGAGGCATGTCTCTCCTTTACACCCTTGGCTCAGAAAAATCAAGATTTACAACTTAAGGCAATGCTCTATGTGCTATCTCTTATTCCCACTCTAGAAAGTAGGTTGCATCGGAGCCACCAGCTGCTGTGGGCAGCAAGGTTCACTTACCAGTTGCTGCAAAGGCGAAGTGCTCAGAGTCTGCATCTGCAGCGACCACCAGCAGAGCACCATCATAAGAAGAAGGCAAAGAAACATGCACGCCTGTGGCTACTGGGCGAGCTTTTACACTGCTGCTTCTGCCTGGGGAGAGAGACCAGTCCCCCTCCCCAGCGCTTCCACTGTTGGTAGAAAGGACAGAAGGCTTTTTCCTGCTAGAGGGTTCAGGCGCTCTTGTGTATGCTCCCTCGATGGAAGGACATGACTTAAGGATGCCTGAATGGCATCAGGCGACCACACCCTCTGTATTGCCTATGCAGCCACCAGGGCAAGTGCCAGAGAGATCCTGCTTGCCAGACATCACCATCAGGATGGAAATGCCCCCAGCCCTCCACATTAGGCTGCTCTGCCCATATGCAGCATGGAGAAGTAGCCGTTGCTCGCAGCTAACACTTGCAGAGCGAATCAGGCTCCTCCAGTTCCTTCAGCCCACCCTGACACTCAAAGGCTGGAACTATTGCTCAGGAACAGGGGCACCAGCCTACTTTACCTCCACTCTCTGGTACAAGGAGAGAAAACATGAAATGGCAGGTTATTGGTCGCAGCAAAACTATAGGCACCACTCCCCTGGTTGCCATTCTTATTATTTTGGGCTGCAACAAGCAATGGGCCAAAGGCGATGCATGCAGCCCTTTCTCAGCCCACTCCCATCAGATGGCACCCTACATTGATCAGCTCCCAGACAACCATCAATGCATGGCCAGAGCTTTCCAACAGGAGGACAACATGCTGTCTGGCCTACAGAAGGGCATGGCCAAACAAACAGTGATACAGCAGGCAAACACTTTGCCGCAGCCACATCTATTCAAAGGCATGCATAGTTGTTAGCCTCCACCTTGTCCGAAGAGGACAGGGCCATTGCAGAGGATCTCCCCACACATATTGATGGCCTGTTTAACCCTGAAATAGATCCACAGCTTAAAAACACGTAGAAGATGAGGCAAGCAGCACACAAGTTTTGTTATCCTCTTCAATGCTAATCTTGCATTCTGTGTCCATACAGTGTGTGTCCCACACCAAAAAAGTTACACTCTATCCAAAAAGCAATTTGCATATGGGCAATTAGGTGAATGAAGGGGAAAAGGCAATGTTTTGCTGCTGTTGGGACAAATGAGAGGGGGACGAAGAGAAAATATTTGAGGCCCAGACACAAACTAGATGCAGGATGATGGCAAATTGGAACCTATTGCAAACCAACCACAATAACAGGTTTTCTGTGATGTTCAGTCATAATACCTCACCTGTACCACTGTCTAAGTAAATAAATACTATGGGTCCACGTATTAGAGGTCACTGAGCAAAAGGAAAAGTCTGCTATTTCTCCTGTCTTCCATCAGTCTGTTTATGTGGACAAGGAGGCAATAAAAATATGCTAAAATGTGATTAATCTGCATTAAGTGATCTTGAACACATATATCTTGAATACATATTGATCCAGCCTACTAGATTTTCATAGATGGATAAACATTGAGACAGTTTACTTCCTAAGTTGTAAAAAAATCAATTGTGTTAGGAATGAATCATTGTCTCATATAGTTGCTCTCTTTAAATTGAAATAGAAATATAACAAACTTTAAGCTCTTTCAAGTGAAAATAGATCAAGGAAATCAATCACTTTGAGTTTATTGTACTCATTGGCTTCTCTTACTATAAGCAAGATAAAACATTAATGATAAAACTCAAAAGACTTTAATTATATGGTATATAAATAGAACAGAACTTAGGCACAATTTAGCCCATGGGACAATTCTACTCAAAGCAAGGCTCATAACCATCTGTGTATGCATATTGATCTGAAACCTCAGAAGAGAGTGTGATTCTGGATCAGGTCAACTGCCTACTTCATAGCAGGTTACAAGATTCTTATGACAACTCTGTAGCCAATAAAGCATATATTTTTCTGCATTTCTTAACTCCATAAAATCTCATGCTCACGGGTTACAGAATTCAGTCTAGAATATTACAGTGAGCTCTCAGAGTCTTGCTGGTATTTGGCTCAAGGACTGTATCCACCTTATATGGAACCAAAATTTGTATATGCTCTATTCCATTTATATACAGTAGTGTACTAAAATGGCAAACAGCTCAAAACCAGTGCTGGAGGGAGCCTGAAGATCTGTGAAAAAGCCAGAAATTCCATTACAGTATGCTTACACATCAACATGTAGGCAGCATCAAGGATTGCTTTGGGGATTTTTAAAAATATTTTAAGATGCAGTTGGTCCATGTGTGCACAACCTATGGCTACAGAGGTCTGAGAGTACTAGATTTCTCTGCCTAAAGTGTGGCTAGTGCATTTCAGAAGTATCAGCCCATAGTTACTAGATTAAAACATGATATAGTTACTTCACTGGAGCTAATTCCAGTGACTTTCTGAACAAGAGAGCACTTAACAACTTTTGTGTGCTCCCTTGAATTCTGTGATGAAAGAAAGGTCAGATATAAATTTACTGAACAAATGAACAAGGAAACTCATGCTGTCTGGGCAATCCATCAGATCTCTATGATTAGTGTATCTGACAGGTCAGTAGGAAATATGGGTTTATAATGCTGTAAATGTGCCCTTTTTAGATTATACCTGTCTGCCTTTCCTTGACTTGTCCTCTGTGAGGATCGTCCTGTAGGCTGCTCACTATCATAGGATTTATTGTGTTGTATTTGTAATACTCAAAATTGAAATATTTATTCTCCAAATATTCACCCCTTTCCAGTAGAAGAAAGCCTAGAAAATGTTTTTGGACTACAGTTCTCACAAGTTAGGAATAGGCAACATGAGATTTTCTACATGTTGTTTCATTGCAGCTCCTGGCCGCACTAGCTAATGTAGAAAATGGTGCTATATGATGGAAGCTGCAGTCAGTTCTCTGAAGGCCCACATACTACTTATCGTGTTTCAAGAATATATTGCTGCTGTTCTTATAAGTATGTGGGGGAAAAAGAAATTATTATCAACCTGGTTAAAGCTTACAGTATATAATGTATACATACCTACTCAGAAGTAATGTATTATAATATGGCTTACTGCCAGATTTATAGCTGCTACTCTAATCTGGAGACCCCCTAGAGAGTTCAATTTGGGAAGGGTTTATATACTGGGGTGCAGCCTTTAAAAATTAGAGCCAATCAGTTGCTTAGTTTAACTTATGGGGTTGTTTTTCAAAGAGAAGCTTGCTGTACAGATATTCTTACTTCCTTGGATCTCATTCTCTTGCTTTTCCTGATTAGCATACTCAGGATCTACCAGTTTGCGCTAGACTGTCATGCTTTGCATTAACCTGTGCTAATGACAGAAGGTTTCTGACAAAAGTGCCAATACTATCATTTTTATGTATGTATTCATCGGCTTGCTTTTTGGGAGCAAAGGACCTGACATCTTCCGGGAAACAAATTAAAGCCTCTGGCAATGGCAGAAGTTCCTTTGAAACATAACCCCTGAACACTTTGACTTGGCAGGTGCATCATGTGGACAAGTCACTGCAGGGGGATAAATCTTTCTTTGGCAAAGCAGGTGCTCAAATCTAGCCCAAATTAGCTTAGCCTCTGCATACCAGTTCTAGTCCAATGCATCCGGAGCTCCAGACAGGTAGCAGACTTTCCGGAGGAGATATCTTTGCCAGAATCTTTCTAATAATTCATTTAGACTGGCTTGGTAGTGGTAATTTATTCACTTAAAAGGATGTTAGCATTCACATTAGAGAGAAGAAAATGAGAGGAGGAGAAGTAGAGAAGGAGGGATAGAAGGAGTGCTTTCAAGAACAGGGATTAAAAGAATTCAGCCTAAACTAAAATAGTGAGGTAATTAGCAACAACTGCTTGGGCATGATAAGAAGTTAAGTAGACTAATTTGTGGGTTTGTCTGTGTGCCATATTCTGCCAGTATGTGGCTACAAAATGAGATAAGAACAAAAGCTCCATCTGGATTCAATGAACTTTGTCAGTGTACTATATCTAAAATCACTAATTTTGTTGTTATTGGCCTTCAGCTGATTTCTGACTTATGGTGACCCTAAGGGCTTTCTTGGCAATATATCTTCAGAGGGGGTTTCCTCTGCCTTTCTCTGACACACAGAGTATGACTTGCCCAAGGCCCTTTGGGTTCTCATGGCCCTAGTAGGGATACAATCTTTGATTTTCAAACTTGTTGTCCAATACTCAAACCATTACAATATGTTGGCTCTCTAAATCGCTACTGCTATTTTCAGTACTGCAACTTTGAAGTTATTTTTCTGGACAACAACTTCCAGATTCCCCCAACCAGCATAGCCATTTTAAAAGAGTAAATTTCCCAAATTATGAACAGTACAGACTGACTTTGTTAAACACATCACAAAAATTTGCTTGCTAATAATCCAGGGACAGTATCATGTATCCTGCTTTATTATTATATGGTTGTTAATGCTACTTGAATGCAACCTGTTTCCCATGAGATAAATTCAATAAATCCGGAATTTCTATGTGAAAGACAGTGTTCCAATGTAAAAACCAGACATTCAAATGAGAATTCTACTTTGAACTATGGAATTAAACTTCCTTGTTTCTTTCTTGGCAGATGTCCGTAGAAGAACAATATATGAGTATCACAGAGTGGAGCTTCAGATGTCAAAGGTTACCAATCTGTCAGCTGTTGAGATGATTCCTCTACCTAGTAAGTCAAGTTCAACAAGCACATGAAATGCAACCTTCTAAAACAGAGGTTTTTTTAAAAAAAGTAGAAATCTTACCTTTATGGATACATCTTCTTCTCAATCATTTACATTGTGCTTAACCAGATGGTATTTTCATAGTAACCCCAACCGACTCACAACTTTGAAATTCTGGCAACATCTAAACCGTGTAACATTACACTGGAGAATAAAATGTGTTTTATTCCAACCTCCATTTTTGTGTCTTGTCTTGATCAGTGCTGTGGTTGAGATGCTTTTCCGCATTATTTCAATATTAATCAGCATTAAATAATGTTAATGTAAAATGCAGTTAGCTTGCTTAGACATTCCTCATGAAGTGTCATTGCCCAGTTGATTCTCTTCTACCATAGACACTTCTTTCTTCTACTTCTTCTTTTTTCACTGTTTAAATAATTCAACTGGTAAATGAATGGCTCTGTGATATGGCAGCGGCATTGCAAATATGGAACTGTCATTGCTAAGACAGGACATATTCACAACAAAGTATTTTTCCCCTTTCACAACTTCATTTGTTATCCAGCAATATTATTTACTGTAAATATGAAGCCAAATTAGCCAGGTTCTTGTGGGTTTTTTCGGGCTATAGAGCCATGTTCTAGAGGCATTTCTCCTGACGTTTCGCCTGCATCTATGGCAAGCATCCTCAGAGGTAGTGAGGTCTGTTGGAATTAGGGCAATGGGTTTATATATCTGTGGAATGGCTGGGGTGGGGCAAGGAGCTCTTCCCTGCTGCAGTTAGGTGTGAATGTTTAGCTGATCACCTTCATTAGCATTTGAAGGCCTGCCTGAGCCTGGGAAAATCTGTTGCTGGGAAGTGTTAATCTGTACCTGGTTTTTTCCTCTCTGTTGTTTAGCTGTTATAATTTTAGAGTTTTTTAATACTGGTAGCCAGATTTTGTTCATTTTCATGGTTCTTCCTTTCTGTTGAAATTGTCCACATGCTTGTGGATTTCAGTGGCTTCTCTGTGTAGTCTGACATGGTGGTTGTTGGTGTGGTCCAGCATTTCTGTGTTCTCAAATAAAATGCTGTGTCCAGGTTGGTTCATCAGGTGCTCTACTATGGCTGATTTCTCTGGTTGGAGTAGTCTGCAGTGCCTTTCATGTTCCTGGATTCTTGTCTGGGCGCTGGGTTTGGTGGTCCCTAAGTAGACTTGTCCACAGCTGCATGGGATACGGTAGACTCCTGCAGAGGTGAGAGGATCCCTCTTGTCCTTTGCTGAACGTAGCATTTGTTGGATTTTCTTGGTGGGTTTGTAGATTGTTTGTATGTTGTGTTTCCTCATCAGCTTCCCTATGCGGTCAGTGGTTCCCTTGATGTATGGTAGAACACTTTTCCTCTGGGTGGATCTTCATCTTTACTCTCGTGGCTTGTTCTTGGTCTTGCAGCTCTTCTGATGTCTGAGGTGGAGTATCCATTGGCCTGGAGAGCCCAGTTGAGGTGGTTCAGTTCATCTTGGAGGAGGTGGGGTTCGCAGATTCTTTTTGCACGGTCTGCCAAGGCTTTAATGGTGCTTCTTTTTTGACTTGGGTGATGGTTGGAGTTTTTATGTAGATATCTATCTGTGTGTGTGGGTTTTCTGTAGACGGTGTGACCCAATTGTTGATCTGGTTTGCGGATGACTAGGACATCTAGAAAAGGCAGTCTTCCTTCATTTTCTTTTTCCATGGTGAACTGGATGTTTGGGTGGATGCTGTTAAGATGGTCCAGGAACCTGTTGAGTTCTTCTTCTCCATGGCTCCAAATGGTGAAGGTGTCATCCACATATCTGAACCATATCGTGGGCTTTTTGGTTGCTGTTTCCAGGGCTTGTTCTTCAAAGTGTTCCATGTAGAAGTTAGCTATGACCGGGCTGAGAGGGCTCCCCATAGCTACTCCATCTTTCTGTTCGTAGAATTCATTGTCCCACTGAAAGTAACTGGTGGTGAGGCAATGGTGAAACAGAGCCGTGATGTCTTCTGGGAACCTCTGGTTGATGAGTGCCATGGTGTCTGCTACCGGGACCATGGTAAATAGAGATACCACATCGAAGCTGATCAGTTTGTCATTTGTATTTAGCTTGAGATTGCTGATTTTTTCTATGAAGTGGGCTGAGTCCTTGATGTAGTGTGTAGTGAGCCCAATATGGCTTTGTAACTGTGCAGCAAGAAATTTTGCTAGGTCGTATGTGGGGGATCCAATGGCACTCACGATGGGTCTGAGTGGGGTGGAGTCCTTATGGATTTTTGGGAGTCCATAAAGCCTGGGTGGATGGGCTTCCGATTTACATAGCTGTTGTCGTATGTCAAAGTTTATGGAGGAGTTCTTAATCAGGGTGTTGGTTTTCTTGGTTATTTTGGCAGTTGGGTCTTGCTTGAGTTTTTTGTATATAGTAGGGTCCAGGAGTTTTCTGATCTTCTCCTTGTATTGTTCTGTATGCATGATTACTGTGGCATTCCCCTTGTCTGCTGGCATAACGAGGATATCAGGATCTGAATTCAGTTCTCTGATGGCTTGTCTTTCCTTCCTAGTAATGTTACTGGAGGGAAGTTTTGCCTAATGAACTCGATATTTTAAAATTAAGCAGAGGTAAAGAGGAGGAACAACCATGAAAAGACAAGAGAGGCATGGTAACACTAGTGAAAGATCAAGAAACCCAACGAAACAAAAATGTAAAGAATTGCAAAACAGGGTAACTGGTGTAACATATCTAACTGGATGATCTATTACTGTCAAGACTAGCCAGACCAAAGCATCACAGCATACATTGTTTGTTGCTTGCACAGTTCTGAATGATCAGAGAATCTCATAAATATTATCCTTTAAGGACAACTCAGGAAATAGCAAGCTTACTTTGCATGCTTGTTACTCCAAAACAAATAGTGACAAATGCTTACTTCACAGCTAATGTACCTCTTAGATATTAGCTACCAGCCTCCTCCTAATCATATTACCGCCCTTGCACAGTTTCCTCCTCCAGTTTGTGATATCAGGTGGGGGGGAAACACATTAGTTAATAACTAATGGAGTAATTTGTAAAATCCAAAAGTAAATGGACACAAATTTGTCATTGAATTATAACAAATGGCAAATTTAGGAGATACAGAAAAAATAGATTTTGAAAATTACATTACATGTAAAAAAAGGCATTAAATTGAATCCAAAAGATCATCAGGATGTATGCATGTTGCCATAGTCTGTGTTTATTGTTATGAATTACCATCTAGTCAACTTCAACCTATGGTGACTCTGAATGTCAGACCTCCAAGTCATCCTATCATCAATAGCCCTGCTAAAGTCTTGTAAATTCAGCAATATAGCTTCCTTAATGGAGTCATTCCATCTGGAATGCACTCTTTCTTTTTTCCCTGCTGTCGTCTGCCTTACCAAACATTGTGGTTTTTTCTTCAGAGTCATATCTCCTCATGATATGTCCAAACTACAACAGTCTCTGTTTAGACATTCTAGCTTCTAGAGAGAGCTTAGGCTTGATTTGCTTTAAGATATGATTTGTCTTTTTAGAAGTCTATGGCACCTATAGAACTCTAGTAGCACATTTCAAATGATTGTCTTCCTTTCAGTTTTCATTCACAACCACATATAAAAATTAGAGATGTAATTGATGGGCAATCCTAACATTGGTATTCAATGATATCTTGACAGTGCATGATTTTGTCTTATTCCTTCATAGGTGCCTTTCTGGTTTTCAGATTCCTTAGCTACAGTGCCATTTTACAGTGTCATTTAATGACTGAGCCACGACATCAAAAATCTTGAACTATTTAAATGCCTTCACTGTCAGCTTTAAAGTTATATGTGTTTATTATTTTGTTATCTTGATGTTCAACTGCAAACCTCTCTTTGTACTTCTTCCATGACTTCCTTCATATCTCTGCTATTTTCTGCTAGTAGTATAGTTACATCTGCCTATGTTAAATAGTGGATTTTTCTTTCTCCAATTTTATGCCTCATTCTTTTAAATCCTATCCCAATTTATGTGTTCAGTATACAGATTAAACACATACAGATGAATTCAATTGCAATTGGAAACCAGTCCATTTCTCCGTATTCTGTCCTGATGTCTTTCTTGTCTTGAGCAATAACTGTATCTGAGTGCATTTGACACAGCAAGACAATAAGATGCCACGGCATACCTTTTTTTTTTTAAAAGAGGGAGCCATAGGTTTTCATGGCCTATGCAATGAAAGAGTTTGCCATAATCTATAAAGCATGGACTGGTTTTCTAATGAAATTGATGTCCATTATCCAATGAATCTTTACAATATGATTCCTAGTGTCTCTTCCTTTCCTGAACCCAGCCTGAATAACTGGCATTCTTGGTCCACATATTACTGCTGTCCTCTTTTCATTTGGATTAGACTGTATATTAGAATGTTTTCAATATATGGTTCATTGTTTGATTTCCCTATTTAGTGGCAGGTATTAGTTAGAACTAGAGTAAATTCTGCCTTTATAGTATGATACAACTATATTGGTATCCCATCTGTTCTTTATGATTTATTTCTCCCAATTGCTTTTAACGTAGCTCCTACTTTATGTTCAAGAATTGTTGGTTCATCTTCAAATAGTTCTTCCTGGAATGACTCTGTCATTATTTCATCTTTTTTATATAGTTATTTCATGTATTTTTATATCATCTTTTTATTTCTACTTGGTCACATAGTGTGTTCCCCTGCTGGTCATAGAGCACACTCATCTTGATTTAAATTTTCCTTTGATTTCTTGGATCTTGTGTAAGAAATCTCTTGTTCTTACTTCTTTGTTATCAGTTTTATTTCTTTGCATTGAATATTATTGTCCCTGTTCACAAGATGCTGAACAGTTGCTTTCAGAGTTCTGATTCTATTTCTCTCACTTTTTACTTTTGCTTCTCATCTATTCTTAGCTACTTGAAAGTTTCATCTGTCATCCATTTGAGACTTGCTTTTCTTTTTGGAGGCAAATAGTATGTTTTTGCATTCATCCCTGAGAAAGTCACTGACTTCAGAGTTCACCTGGCTCTATTATCTTTAAATTCTCTTGGAATGCTCTTCAGATTGAATATTGTCATGATAATTGGTATAATGTTCAATTTTTTTTTTTAGATTAGTAGTTTATGGTCTGTCTCTCAATTTGCTTCTTGTTTTTGGAGAGAGTAACCCTTCTCAATCATCTGCTTCCAATTATGCTATGTATCTGATTTCTGCCTTGGCCATGGGGTGAGATCAATGTACAGAGTCACCTCTTGAGTTGCTTGAAAATGTGTTTGCAATAAACACTGGTCTTGCAAAATTCAGTCCCTCTATCTCCAACATTTCTTGGACCTTGGATTTTCCTATAATATCTTATTCTGCTTTGTTTCCTATTTTTGCATTTCAATCACAGTGTATTCTAAGAAGCCCTGATGTGTTGTGTGATTAATTTCTTCTTAGACTCCACCATATTTATAGCCTGTTGTTAATCCTGGACAATTATCCCCACACTGCCAAAGCAAAGCAAACCCCTCCAGTTACCCGAGAAGATTATTCTTTGAGTGATTTTCAAGCCACTATTGATTGTAAAGAAAAAAGTGTTTGTGGCATGAACAATTTGTTTGTTTTTACAGCCTGCCTCCAGTTTAACAGCTGTGGGCCTTGTGTCACAGCCCAAATTGGCTTCAACTGCAGCTGGTGCAATAAACTCCAAAGGTAAGAGAGCTAGTTAATTTTTGGTGTTTGATATACAATGCCATTGATAATGAATCCATTTTCTCTTGCCCAGTATATTGCTTAGGAGCTTATTTTAATTGGTTTTATTCCTGGGGACAACCAAAAGTGATGTATTTGACCTTTTAATCTATATATAGATTAATGTAATATATAAAGTAAGACTATTCCTCTCCCAGAGTCACAATCTCATTATCAGCTGGACACTGTGAACAAAATCAACTCTCAGAAAGAAGGGCTTGCAAGCATACTTGGTGGGAATGCCCTAGAATTACATCATACTGAGGGAAGTTGTGAAGTATAATTAAAAATAAGGCTGTGAGTCCAGGAAGAGTCACAATACATTCAACACATTGATAAATTTTTAAAGCCAAAAGAAAGAACATTCCTGTATGTTTATTTACAATGGATAAAACATTTATCAGACTGAAGTATAAGAAAAGATAGGCAACATAATCTCTTGATATTTCTGTCGGATTAAAATGGGAGTGAAGGAATGCAGCAGAATTGTGGGATTTGAAAGCAAAGGACAAGATAGCTTGCTGTTTTAAATTAAAGGAGAGTGAATTTTTTCTCCTGCCACAACCTTCTATAAAATGGTGGTCCTCTAGATGCATTGCATCTAGCCAATCAGATTATCCCCAGCAAGCATGCACTATTCTAATACAGTTTAGAGTTACTATTTGTGCTTGTAAACTAAAAATTAGATGCAGGTTTATAAATCTGAGATCCAAGCCACTTTCCTTTACCCTTTTAAAAGTTGTTTTTGATGGAATCAAAAAGAGAATAAGTCAAAACCTTATGCCAGTGGTTCTCAACCTGTGGGTCCCCAGATGTTTTGGCCTTCAACTTCCAGAAATCCTAACAATGGTAAATTGACTGGGATTTCTAGGAGTTGTAGGCCAAAACACGTGGGGACCCACAGGTTGAAAACCACTGCCTTATGCCAATAATTCTGTTGCTACGTCCATAAGAGCGCATAGTTCCACACTAGTCTAGTAATCTGTATGAGTATGGATAGGAACTATGTTTGTATGGTTTATCACTTTGAGTTCTTGGATTGCTTCTTGAATTGAAATGCATATTCTACTGAGATCCTTGTGGTGATTTACACATTAGAAGATGTCTCTTATATCTAAGAATTTAGCTATATTGTGAAATAGAAAAGAGAAGCAAACTGTCTGAGAACTTAGGAATCTTTATCTTTTTGAGTTACAATTCACAGAATCCCTAGCTAGTAGGGCCTTGAGACTTTGATTCAAGCAATCCAAAAGTAACTTTTTTCAGCTCTGAATTTTCTTTTATTCCCACCTCTCAGAGTGGCTTTAAAAATAAATAAAACTCCACATTCTCCCAAGGTACCAAGGAAAGTTGTCACAGCTCAGATATACAAAAAATGAATGACTATGAATGACAGCTAGTTTCTGAGGGACGGAGGATCAATCCATGTTGACACTTGTCTTGTGCTTCTGGGACACATTTCTCCAGTTGTGAGGTCATTGTGGTGTAAGGCCTTCTTCTGATTATTTTTCCTATAAAGAAGAATTGTGATTCATAATATCCCTCAGGGCTTCAGGGGAAAGGCTATAATAATACATTTCCCCATTGCTACTTGTTTTTAAGTTTAGCTATGCAGTCCATCAGTCATTTTGGACTTTATCATTTTGATATCTTCACAACTTGACTATCTCCCTCTTTCAAGCCCAAAACCTTACAATGTCATTTCCATGTCAAGGAAAATAAAATGTTTACAATCATTGGTCATTGTCTTTCTTTTCTAGCTTTGTGTTTAAATAGGTCAGAGTGGTTCTCAAGTCTGATCAAATTCAGAAAGAAAAAAAACAGAAGTAGATGTCTTGTTACTTCCAGCTTTGATAATTTTTTTCCTTTAATTTGGGGCACATTTGAGCCTAGTACAGCCTTCAACAGGTCTTGTGCATAAAACTTAGATCCTAATCATTCCAGAATTGACCATCATTAGTCTATGCAGAGAAATGCAGTGTGCATTTGCTTATCTGTCATCATCTATCAAGTTAAAAGAAAACAGGTACTATTAGATTACTAAAGAAACTCTACTTAGAAACAGCAATTATGGGAAAAGCCAATCATCTCAAGAGTCAACATAAACTACATTTTGTGGATCTGGATCTGCAAACCCTAAACTTTATATGTATCTAAAATATGCATAGGAAATCATTAAAAATAAATTAAGGAATTATCATATTCAGCAGGATATTGAATAGAACTAGATCTTGACTTTATTTTCAGCATGTTAAGGATATACACTTTTTAGAAAGTTATTTCTATGGTGTAATGCTTGCATTCAGCAAATAACCATTATTATATATACTTTAGAGAATTTGCGACCACGCTTAAACTATTCACTGGCTTCAAATTTCTTCTCAATCCCATTTCACATTGAAGGTTGTTGGATTAGAGGCATTAGACCCTTTTCTGGACAAGATCAAGACTGGTTCAAGTTGAGACTCGAAGTGCATTTACACTGCAACTTGACACCATGCTAACTCCCATGGATCAATGTTAGAGAATCCTGGGATGTTTTAGTTTGGTGAGGCACCAGCACTCTTTGACAGAGAATGGCAATGTTCGTGTAAAACTAGACCTACCATAATTCCATAATATTGTATAGTGGATATTGTATAGGGTATAAAAGAGAAGGTTTAGTGTGAAGCATTTTCCTACAATTCCTGTTCTTAGTGAAAGGGAGTAAAAGAGAAGGTTTGCTTGTGAAGCATTTTCCTACAATTCCTGTTCTCAGTCTCTTGTACTCCGGTTGATGACTTGCATCCCTTCTTCCAGTCTCTGGAAGTGGTCTTTTGGGAGCGGCTTGACAGGAATATCAGCAAAAATAAATTCTGTGCTGTCGTACTTTAACTCAGCAAACCCATCTTGACACATTTGAGGCACCAGTATTCTTTTTGAGCAGTTTTTTCACTCTCATAAATCCTGATGCAGCTTTTATTGTCTTGCAACAAAAACATTGGCTTTGGTTCTGAAAGTAAGCTTTGCAACCAGTTTATTTCATTACAGACTGATTTTGCAGACACAAATTCTGCCCCTGTAGAGGTATCAGCAATCACAGACTTTTTTTGTTACTTGACCAGCTAGCTTATGGCTCCTCCACCATAAAAAAAAATGAGGTTCCCGCTGGTGGATTTCTGTCTGCCAAGTCTCCATCTGCATGGCTGGAGTTGCCCATTAGCTGGTAGCATCAGTTTGTGGTCCACAGTAACTTTTAAATATCTGACCACAATTTTTGGTTGGGAAGTTAAACATTCTGCATAAAATTCCAACTGCATTTGCAGTGCCAAGCCTGGTAAAATTAGCAATATATAGAAGTTTTCCAGTTTCAATCTTATGGTTATCAACATCTCTTAAAGGTTCAGATTTTTCAGTGTTCCTAAAGAAATCTACTTCGATTGGGTTGGCATGACTTTAGCATCTTTCAGATGAAAGCATTCCGGATGATCATCTGCTTTTGATTAAGAAAGAAACTGCCATCACAGTTTCTTTCTATCTGAACTCCCAAGACAGTGTGAGGTGTCATTTTCATGTCTACCTTGCTCGAGATTTTGGGTTATCTCTTCTCTATCTGCCTTGTCTTGACAGCACAGGATGTTATTATTATTATTTATTTATTATTATTAAACTTTATTTGTACCCCGCTAGCATCTCCCGAAGGACTCGATGCGGCTTACAAAGGCCAAGGCCTCAACACGCAATAAACCAATACAAATACAACAATACAATAACAATGTCCATTGTTATTTCTGTTAGATCAAAAATTAATGTCTTAATATAGTTTTAAATGTGAAATATAAAAATAATTTAATAGAATTATTAACATGATAACATTATTTCTAAAAAAAATGCTACAAATTGCCAGTTCTGTCCCCCAAATTGACCCAAGAGAGATGAAATGTTTATTGTAATTCAGATATCTTTATCATTTAACAGCTTAAATAATGATTTTTAAAATACAGTCAGTAAAATTAATTAATAATAGCTATGGATTAATTTCTACTGAATTACTTTCAAATTATTTGAAAGATAGTAGAATGCATTTGTTTGTGGATCAAAGAGATCCTTCAGTTACATTTGTTTCAATTTCACACCTCACCATAGGTGTGAACATTTTCCTGTACTATAGGGCCATGAACACATGCCATGCTTCCAATTTATTTATTATAATAATAATATTTATTTATTTGATCAGTCATATGACCATTTCAAAATAGAACACGAGTAAAAAAACAAGGCAAAAAGGTGAGGACAGCAGCTGACCTTCTATTTATAGTCAGAATCTTATTTTCCTGGTTCTTCTTTCAGGAAATCTGCTCTTTTCTTAATAGCTTTCAGAATAAAAAGGCTTACTCTGATTATGCTGGATCTTTCCTGCCCTTGCAAGAGGGATGTTAGAATATCATTTCTGTTGGGGGACCAGCAGTTGGATAATATTGGATGTAAATATCTGTCTCGCTGTAAAGATCCCTTACCTTTCCAGCCTGGATGGCAGGGCCTAGGAACAGCAGGCCAGTTAGTTGCAGCTTTAGTAGGCCTGGCAGAGGGCAGCAGTAGCCATTTTAGTTCAGGGAAAAACACCATTTTAGAGAGGGGGAGTGTCCTAGGCCTGAGTTAGCATTAGAACAGCCAGGATTGGTTCAGAAAGGGGGCGGAGTTTAGCAAGGTTTGGAGGGAAAGAAAGAGGGCTTTTTCAGTCAGTCTGTTGTTGTTAGAGATTAGAGTAGGAAGGTAGTTTAGGAGTTCGTGTTTAAGATTAGTTAAGAGAAGGCAGTTTGCCTTAGGTTTGCCAGCAAAAGAAGCTGTAGCAAACTGGGACAGCTATCAGGGAAAGATAGCTGGTTTGTAGTTAGCTAGGCCACAGTTCAGGGTAGCTAAGCTACAGTTGTATCTTGACAGAGATTCAGTTCCTGTCAAGTGTGCTTGGTTTTAAAGAGAAG